ACCATTCAGTCCCTTTACCAGAGGAGCGTGAGTTAGGTCTGAATAGCTGGTAGTAAGTTGAACCTGTTCCCGGTGAGGGTTGGACTCCACCAGGGCTGCCCTTTGTCACCGGTTCTGTTCATTACCTTTATGGACAGAATTTCTAGGCGCAGCCTTGGTGTGGAGTGTGTCGAGTTTGATGGCAGGAGAATCTTGTCTTTGCTTTTTGCGGATGATGTGGTCCTCCTAGCTTCATCCAGCTCTGACCTTCAGCTCTTGCTGGGTAGGTTCGCGGCCGAGTGTGAAGCGGTTGGGATGAGGATCAGCACCTCCAAATCTGAGACAATGGTTCTCAACCGGGAAAGGGTGGCTTGCCAACTCCGGGTCGGGAGAGAGGTCCTACTTCAAGTGGAGGAGTTTAAGTATCTCAGGGTCTTGTTCACGAGTGAGGGTAGGAAGGATTGGGAGATCGACAGGCGGATTGGTTCGGCGTCTGCAGTGCTGCGGACATTGAGCCGATCTGTCGTGGTGAAGAGGGAGCTGAGCCAGAAAGCCAGGCTCTCGATTTACCGGTCAATCTACGTCCCAATCCTCACCTATGGTCATGAGCTTTGGGTAATGAACGAAAGAACGAGATCGCGGATACAAGCGGCCGAAATGAGTTTCCTCCATAGGGTGGCCGGGCTCAGCCTTAGAGATAGGGTGAGGAGCTCGGACATTCGGGAGGGACTCTGAGTAGAACCGCTGCTCCTCTGGATCAAAAGGAGTCAGTTGAGGTGGTTTGGGCATCTGGTCAGGATGCCTCCTGGACACCTCCCTGGGGAGGTGTTTCGGGCATGTCCTGCTGGCAGAAGGCCCCCGGGTCGACCCAGGACACGTTGGAGAGGTTGCATCTCCAATCTGGTCCGGGAACGCCTTGGGGTCCTGGTGGAGGTGGCTGGGGAGAGGACGGTCTGGAGCTCCCTAGTTGGGATGCTGCCCCCGCGACCCGGACCCGGATAAGCGGAGGAAGACGACGACGATTTCATTCAGCACAGTGGATTAACCTGGTTCAGTTGCTGAGCAGAACAAAAACAGGACATGGAGATGACTTGATGATGCCACAATGTCACACCTCTGGTATGAACTAAAGTAGAGAATAACTTCTGTTTTAGTTGTGTTGCATTGTAAGTAGAGGAAAGCAGGTGGGCTTGTGAAAGACAAAAATCTTTCCACAACTATATTGTCAAAATAACAGTGTAGGTAGGTACAATATCATATCTGTTTCTAAATATATCGGGATATCGGCAAACCATAGTTATGATAACTTGACTTGTACACTGAAAAAGTCTTGAAAATGTCCTGGAAAAGTCCTGGAAAATAATTTCAAGAAAAGAGTGGGAACCCTGATGGAGCCTGGCCGGGCTTGGCCCGAAGAGGAGACGTGGGTCCCCCTTCCCATGGACTCACCGCTTGTGGGAGGGGCCACAGGGGTTAGGTGTAATGTGTGATGGTCGGTAGCCGAAGGCTGGGACCTTGGCGGTCTGATCCTCAGCTACAGAAGCTGGCTCTTGGTATGTGGCATGTCGCCTCTCTGGTGGGGAAGGAGCCTGAGTTGGTGTGTGAGGTTGAGCGGTTTCGACTAGATATAGTCGAACACACCTCGACACATGGCTCTGGCTCCGGAACCAGTTTCCTTGAGAGGGGCTCGACACTCTACCACTCTGGAGTTGCCTACACTAAGAGGACAGGTTCTGACTGTTTGTGCTGGAAAGTGCTCGTTTGGAGTCCAGAAGTACCGGTGCTGTTCCGGATGGATTTATAGATGTAGGTTTTTATTTTAGATCAGACCTACGTTTTTTTTAAATGCATGTAGGACACAGACCTTTTGCTGTAGCTGTAAACGCAATTTTCTGTAATAATTAAGAGCACGAAAGTAAACAAAATACAGTTATTCACAATACTAGCAACAGCAGCTACAAGGTTTTATGTCTTGGGGTGACGAATGCGAAACACAGTTCTTCACTGTCTGGAGGAGAGAAGTTTGATTTTCTGTAACGAGTTATGACAAAATTCCTTAACAAAATGAAAAACTGATCCCAGTTCATATTTATATAGATGGTAAAGTGTAGTTATACTGCATTTCTACAATTTTAATGCAGAATCTGGCCAATACCTGTAAGTTAAAAAATATAACCGGTTTATTACAATCCAGTTCATGCCAGTACAAATACATGCATGCGTCTGGATGAGATCCCCAGGCCAATTTGTAGCTGTCTCAAGCGGAGCTGATTATCTGACCATGTATGGTAAACATTTTGTAGACAATACATTCGGTTTGGAAAGCAATACTATCATGAGAGTTTAAGCTTGCTGTCTGCAAGTGCATCTGAGGTGCAAGTTTATCCTGAGAGGTATACAATGGCCTACCAGGCTGAAATGCTTCATATGACTCACATTATCCTTGTTATTCTGAACTAAATACAGAAATACAATATTATATGATATTCTTTCATAGATACATTATAAATTGTAGCAGACACCACAGCACATTGAATTCATGGCCAGAAAACTGGCTGGATGCTTTTCCGGGCAAGTTCTTAAAAAAAAAAAAAATTCTGGACTACTCTCACCATTGCTGGTAAAGGCATTTAATTAGTCCTCGACTGTTTGGTCGCCTCCACCAGCTATGCATAAAGCTGTTATTTCTGTGATTTTTATGAAAAGAGTAAAGACCCCGAGGCTCTTACAGACCGGTATGGCTTTTGAATGTGGATGCTAAAATTCTCTTTAAGATTCTGGCTCAGTGCCTTGAGAAGGAGCTCCCTACAGTTGTTTAACCTGACCGGACAGGATTTGTGAAGGATCAACAGTTTTTTCTATTGGAATAATTTTGGTTTTTTTAACAAATGGATAGTCTCCCAGTTTATTGTTGTAGATTGACTTAGATCAACTTAGGTGTAGGGTTGTCACGGTATGAAAATTTAACCTCACGGTTATTGTGACCAAAATTATCACGGTTTTCGGTATTATCGCGGTATTTTTTAAACGGTGTTGCATATGTTCAGAAAGCATTGATAGTCCTGTTCTACACAAACTGAAATAGTTTTGAAAATGTTTAACAGTGTTTATTAAACCTAAAATAACACAAAGCCTTAGCAAAAGTGCAACTTTTCACAAGTAAAGGAACAAATAGCTTATTTTTCTGGAACATGTTACAGTAGTCAGTGCAGGTTTAAATTATACAAATCCAAACATTCAAAACATAAACAATATGTAAACAAATCAAAGAAACACCACTTGTTTTCTCATATACTTGTTTTCTTCATTATCAAAATGAAAATCTAAAACTCCAGTCCACACTTGACTTGAGCAATGTACAAGTCAACCTTAAAAAATATGTATTTAAAACAAATAGCCACTTTAAACAAATTACTAAAATAACTACTACACTATGTAATCAAATCCAAATGTTCAAGTATAAATGGCATTGAATAAGTAAACAAATCAATGACAAGGAACTAATTGTATATTTCTCTTCATCATCAACAAATAAGATGCTTCATCCAGCAACAGGGTGTCTGTGACACGGTTTAAATGCTGGCAGAGGACGCTGCGGCTGCAGTATATAGTGACTCGTTGCATTCTCCCTCAACCAAAAGTCCTCACGTCATGCATTTCAGCTAAAATGCTAATGTTAACTTACCTTGCACTGGCTGTAGAGACGTGGGTGATCGTCACACAGATGTGCCATTAGATTCGAAGTGTTACCTTTTGCAGACACTTGTTTCCTGCACGTTCTGCAAACGGGATAGCAGTCTTCTATTAACTGTCCCTCAGCATTTTTCAGAAATCCCAAATATGCCCATACTTCCGATTTAGTCTTCTTTGAGGGCGGATGGATGTCCTGGGCGCTGCCGTCTCCTCCTTCGGCCATTATTTCAGCTTCAAAGTTTTGGTGCCGTTGCAAACTAAAAAGTGCGTGTGCGCGCCGCGGGAACTTCAGCTGAAGCGACGGTGGCTGGTAAGGGTCATCGCGCCGAAACCGCGGCCACGGTAAACCCACCGAGATAATATAGTTTTTTAAAAACTGGACGGTTATTTTTATTGTCAACTTTTTTACCGGGGTTTACCGCTATACCGGTTACCGTGACAACCCTACTTAGGTGTGCATGTAAACACACTTAGACTTTATTGGTCAGCTTGCTTTTCACATCATAGAAACATTGCTAAGCTGAGTCCCATTCTATCACATTCTGAACTGGAAATTGTGATCCACTCCTTTATCTCCTCGGGCTTGGATTATCACAATTCACTTTTCACTTGTCTGAGTAAAACCTCCCTGAACCGTTTAGAAATGGTTCACAATACCTGTCCTCGACTTCTGATCAAGTCTTCCAAACACATCCACATCACCCTCTAGCTCCACTGGCTGCTGGTTAAGTGCAAAGTTCATTTGATCCTAGTTCTGGTTTTAGGGCCTTACTTGGACAAGCACCATCTTACATTGGAGATTTTCTCAGTCCCTACACCCCCAGCAGGTCCCTGAGGTCCAGTGATCAAAGCCTACTGGTTGTACAGCACCAGGCTAAAGGTTAAAGGTGACAGATCATTTGCTGCTGTGGTCCCCAGACTCTGGAACTCTTTCCCCCTGGGCCTGAGATCAGTGGACTCTTTTTAAAAGCAGATGAAAATTCATCTGTTCAGGCTGGCTTTTGTGTGACCTTCTGTTCATCCTCTTCACTCGTCATTCAGCTCCATCTGCTCCACCATTTTTGCATGCTCTTCTTCAACTCACTTCTGCATTCCCCTGTTGTTTTGGATGATTATCTCCACATACTCCTCTCCCTTTAAGCACCTCTACACCTTTTTGGACTATCTTCCACCTGCACCTATCAATCCCCATTGATCACATGATTGTCTAAAAGCATCTCAGTCACTGGGGACTTATAAGAAGCAATTTACTAAGCCTCACACTTTTATCATAAATTTCTTCAACTTTACAGTAAGAACATCTCTGTTTCTGCTGTTTGTGTCTACAGTGTCAGATTATCTACCCCCGGCAGCAGCTGTTTACCATGCATGAGCTAGAAACGATGGACTTTTCGAAGAGCGAGGTGTCGGAGTACAGTTTGAAACTGAGGAACATTGCTATGTAAGCAGACAAGGATAACAACAATAACACTCAAGTCATGTTGTGTGAAACGGCCAGAAGCCAATGTTTAGATTTCCTCCTTTAATTCTCAGAAAAAGTAAAGGCTTGAGTGGAAGAGCTCTCAGGAAGCTACCATTTCTTGCTCATGCACTCTTCGTAAAGGTAAATGTTTAATTTTAAAGTTTTACTTAAAGTTAAGGTGAACATTGTTTTGAATGTATTTGTTCATCTGCAGATGCCGACAGTATCTCTGGAGATGTTTCTGGAGGCTCTGAGCCATGCTGTGGATGAACAGGGAAAGGAGAAGGATAATCTTATCAATGGCATCTGAAAACAATAAAATAGCTCAAAATGGACCCGTGATTGTCTGTGAGCTGCAGTTGTAAAACAGCTGTGATTGTTTTTACTTATCCTGTTCATGTCTTGAAAGATGTTATGCAGTTTATATTGTTGAATTATAATTTTAAACTAAAAGTTGTAGTTACTATCTAATCATTACTTACATGTTCATGGTATTACCGGTTTGCTTCTTCTGTGATATGTTTTTTACAAACACAGCTTTACCTTAACAGTTTCCTGAATTGGAGTAAAATCCTACTTCTGTTTTTCCAGTTACTTCCTGTCTTATCTTGCATTGATATTTGCTCAGCTGTATTTTATCAGCAAGAAGTAACAGACTGGATGAAGCAATATTTGCCCTAATTTTTTGAAGCAGTTTGTTATGGAAAGTTAATGTTTGTTTCACTGTTTGTGGATTTTATCTAACAATGCTGAAGTGACTAATCTTTTGTTAAATGTGTTAAAGTGATTCATTTTTCATCAGTTCTGTCTTTCCTGGATTTACAACTGTTTTCCATTGGTTTAAAACACTGTAGTAAATGCATGTGTTTCTATCTGCTGCTGTAGAACTTGTTCTTCACCACTTGATGATGCACAGACTGTTCCACCTGTACTGGTTTTTATGATTTTGTATTTTGTGAGTTACATGATAACATTGAGGGTAAGTCAAATCTGTAACAACAATAGAGATTGCAGTTGAACTTATGTCCCTCTTTTCTATTCCAGTCATTTTGTTGTTTTCCCAATTGGTTCAGTTTAAATTTAATTAGCAATATGAAGTTAACCCGGTCTTTCATGGCTTAGACCTCTGCTTTTGAACTTGAACTTTGAACTCACACACACCAAATAATGTTTCTACGGTTATATTATGATTTCTTAGTAAATATTCTATTTGGTGAGAGATAAATTAATGTATTTATCCTAGTGAAACTATAATTAAACGAGTAAACTAGTAGTAGCACATTTACTTAAGGAAAGTAAAGCGTTATCAGAAGAGGCAGAATGATTAAATGGTTAGCAACAGTGTTCAAGCTGATGGCCCCCTCCATGAGGCTACCACAGCTCAGCAGGACATCATTGTAGCTTCTCCTGGGGAGAAAAACACTTATAGAAAAAATAAAGTTAACAGCTGAAATAGCAGGAAATAATACAGTTAAAGAGCAGATTGTAGAAGAAAGTAGAGTGTGGAAAGTGGTCAGCAGCATAACTACAGAGATAACTTGATAACCTAGCCTTTTAGATGGAGGCATGTTTTGGGCCATTCCCATCTGTACCGGGTCGGCCTGGGCCGAGTAGCCCCAGTCGGCCCCAGCCTGGCCCGGTTAATTCCACACATCCTTACCTTAAGCCCATGTGGGCTGATTCTACCCACCAATCAGAGGCTTGCTCTAATGAGCTTTCTGCTGGCCTTCCTTGATTGCTGATTGGCTGCACCTGGCGGTAAGGCGTTTCCTGTTTTCAGTGTTGCACTACGTGTAGCTGTTTGTTGTTTGGGGCTCGCTAAAGCTGATTTAATTTCTCTGTACTAGGATATCTCTGAGTTATTGTAGCACTAAAGCACGCTGAAACACACATTTTCTGTTGTTCCACCTAGCTTTTAGGGAACCATTTGAGTTTGCACGCAGTTTATTTGGTACTGAACAGTTTGCTCGTCCAGTTAGCTTAGCCTCAGCACGGCTATGGCTACTTCTGTCTCTGCTTCTCCATCTCCTATCTCTTGCTCTCTGTGTCAGATGTTTAGTTACTCATCTGCCTCCTTTAGTGATAATGGTACGTGTAATAAATGTAGCATTTTTGTAGCTTTGGAGGCGAGGGTGTCGGAATTGGAGTCCCGGCTCCGCGCTGTTGAGAAACCTGTGAACAGCCGTAGCTACTTAGCTAGCGCGGGGCTAACTAGCTCAGAACCGCCCCGTAGCGGTCCTCCAGCAAAAGAACCCGAGCAGCCGGGACCTCAGGCCGGCTGGGTGACGGTACGCAGGAAGCATAGAACCCAGCCCGTGGGCCACCACCAACCCGTCCACATTTCTAATAGATTTTCCCCGCTCAGTGACGCACCCACTGACAAGCCGACTCTGATCATTGGCAGCTCCATAGTCAGAAATGTGGCATTAGAGACTCCAGTAACCATAGTTAAATGTTTACCTGGGGCCAGAGCAGGCGACATTAAATCTTATCTGAAACTGCTGGCTAAGGATAAGCGTAAATACAGTAAGATTGTTATTCACGCTGGCGGTAACGACACCCGGTTACGCCAATCGGAGGTCACTAAAATTAATGTTGCTTCGGTGTGCAAGTTTGCCAAAACAATGTCGGACTCCGTAATTTTCTCTGGCCCCCTACCCGATCGGACCAGTGACGACATGTTTAGCCGCATGCTGTCCTTCAACCGCTGGTTGTCTAGGTGGTGTCCTGAAAACAACGTGGGCTACATTGATAATTGGAAAACTTTTTGGGGAAAACCTGGTCTGATGCGGAGAGACGGCATCCATCCCTCTTTGGATGGAGCAGCTCTTCTTTCTAGGAATATGGCCAGTTTTATTAGTCCTCCATGACTACCCAGGGTCCAGACCAGGAAGCAGAGTCGTAGTTTAACCCACCCCTCTGCAGCTTCTGTACTGTTACCCACCCACTACCCCATAGAGACAGTGTCCTGCCCACGGCCAAAATCACACAGATTAAATATCAGGCTTAATAAAGCAAATCATAGAAATCTCATAAATATTAGAACAAATTCAACTGAGCAGAAAACCAGAAAAATTAAATGTGGGTTGTTGAACATTAGATCCATCTTTTCTAAGACTTTGTTAGTTAATGACTTGATTTGTGATAATCAGATCTCTTTGCTCTCTCTCACAGAATCCTGGCTGCAGCAAGAGGACTATGCTAGCTTAAACGAGTCGACTCCTTCAAATTATTTAAATCATCATATTGCTCGAAGTACAGGGCGAGGAGGAGTGGCAACCATTTTTCATTCTGACTTATTAATCAGTCCCTTACAGATTAATACTTACAGTTCGTTTGAACATCTTATTCTTAGTTTTCCTAATCCAGATTGCAAAACTGTAAAACCACTCTTGTTTGTAGTTTCATATTGTCCACCAGGCCCTTACTCTGAGATTTTGGATCAGATCTCTGATTTTTTTATCTGATTTGGTGCTAAATACTGATAAGGTCATTGTAGTGGGGGATTTTAATATTCATGTGGACATTAAAAATGATTGCCTCAATGTAGCCTTTAGTAATATCTTAGACTCAATTGGTTTTACTCAAAGAATACATAGCTCCACCCACTCCTGCCATCATACATTGTACCTTGTGCTGACTTATGGCATAGAGTGTGAGGAAATAACAATCTTTCCACATAATCCAGTCCTCTCGGACCACTTTCTGATAACCTTTGAGTTTTTTTATAACTGAGTTCTCCAGACATGAAAGTAAATTTCACTATAGTCTGTCTCTATCTGACAACGCAGTTGCATCTTTTAAATCAACTGTTCCATCTTTACTGTCCTCAGCATCTCAGAGGAGCGTAGCAGAGGGCAATATTTTCAGTTCTAGCCCCTCACAAATTGATGCCTTAGTTCATCATGTTAATTCCTCTTTACGTGTGGCATTAGATGATGTTGCCCCTTTAAAAAAGAAGGTAATTAGGGACAGGAAGTTGGCTCCCTGGTTTAATTCTCATTTACGAGCCTTAGAACAAAACTCTAGGAAATTGGAGAGAGCATGGCGCTTTACGCACCGTGAGGAGGCCTACCTACCCTGGAAAAATAGTCTTGTGCTTTATAAAAATAAGCTTCGACAAACTAGAACTGCTTATTTTTCAGCACTAATTGAGGAGAATAAGCATAATCCTAAATTTCTTTTCAGTACAGTTGCTAAACTTACACAGAATCATAGCTCTGAGCCATCTATTCCCTTAGCCCTCAGCAGCAATGACTTCATGGAATTTTTTACAAGTAAAATTAATTCTATGAGAAACAAAATCTTTAGCATCCTCCCTAATGCGATTTCTTCTTCCTCAGTAAGTGAGGCAGCGTCAGAGGTGACTGTAGAACCTCATCTGTGCTTGAACCGTTTTGATCCAGTTGAGCTTTCAGAGTTATCAAAAATATTAGCTTCATCTAAACCTTCAACTTGCATTTTGGATCCAATCCCAACCAAATTATTTAAAGATGCATTTCCTTTGGTTACTGCCCCCATTCTAGATATAATCAATCTATCCACATTAAATTGGATACGTACCACATGATTTTAAGGTTGCTGTAATTAAACTTTTACTTAAGCCTTCTCTGGATCCAAATGACCCAATGAATTATAGACCAATATCTAACCTTCCATTTTTATCCAAAGTCCTGGAGAAAATAGTGGCCATCCAAGTATGTGAGCATTTAAACACTAATGGTCTGTTTGAGGAATTTCAGTCTGGTTTGTATGATGAGCCTAAACAAAATAAGTTTAGGAAGCCCACTAAGAATCGTAATAAAAGCATTTAAAATTAAAGCTGCAAGCAGCGTCGTTCGGCCCTCGCAGTGAAGCTGCTCGCCCTCTGTCCGCACCCCCTCCGCTCCATCCCCGACGCTCTCCAAACCCAGCTCCGCGCCGCTCCATCCTGGCCGGCAGCCGGGGGCACCAGGGCACGTCTGGCAGAACAGAAACGTCAACCACCCCGACACCAGAAATCGTGAACGGCCTCCTCGTCCACACCTCACCCTGACTCAGCATCTCCTCTGAGCCCAGCATTACACGTCTCACCACTAGGAGATACTCTATCTTTACCACACTGGTGATGTGATGTTCAGTCTCGGGCAAATCGGAGGCTGTTTGTGGAAGTTACAGTCAAACGTAAGGTCACAGCGTCACGCCAGAATTCGCCATGGCATCAAAGCCCCTCCCTTTCTGAAAAGCTAGCAAATCTGAATGGTCATTACAACATCATAAAGACAGTGCATGACCTTAGTGTCATGTTGACTAAATTAGAGGGGACAAATATGGGCATTTCACCATAAAAAATAGACTTCCTGTAGTCAGGGGGCGGGGCTTAGGTGATGTCAGCTGTCCACATTGTCATTGTCTTGAGATGTGGTCAATGATCACACAGACACAGTTTGATATAGATCTCATAATGCACATGGGAGTTGTTAAGTCAAGTAATGTAATGGCGAGAGGTCAAAGTTTGAGGCTTAGCCACGCCCACACCTTTATACTTATTTAAAATCCGATGGTTGATTCGCTGCGAGGGCCGAACGACGCTGCTTGCAGCTTTAATTAGGCCCGAGCAGCGAAAGCGCTGCGAAGGCCTCTTGTTTTTGCTCTGTTTATTAGGCCCGAGCAGCGAAAGCGCTGCGAAGGCCTCTTGTTTTTGCTCTGTTTATTATTTATTATTCTTAGCCCGCTTTGAACGGCTTTTTGGGGACCTTATCATACCCCAAAACTCACAATATTTTGCACACTTGTCAGGCCTGGTGAAAATTTTGATATTTTAAAGGTCCCAAAAAAATCGCAAAGAAAATGGCTGAACAGCGCCCCCCACAAAGTGAAAAAAAACCCTCTC